TGCAAGAAAGGAAGAGTGGCAGATGCTCACAAAGAAGTTGGGACTTGGAGCTCAAGGAGGTGCCAAGATAGGTTGCAAAGCAAAGAGTGTGAGGACCAGGAAAGGTATTAGAGCTCAGGGAGGAGGAAGAAAGAATGACTTTGGAGAGGAGATTGAGAAGCTGCGAATGTGGCTAGCTGAAGAGAGGAGCAATGGCCACAACATCAGCAAGAGAGAGGTCAGGGAAGAGTTCTACTCTCTCCTAGTTGCAAGGTCTGAAAGATGCTTGCAGAAAGCTGAAGAAAGCGCAGATCAGCTTCAGAAGAAGTTGTGGGAGATTGAAGCAGCAAAGTCACTGGAGAGGAAGAATAAGTTGCAGAAGAGCAAGAGCTATGCACAGAGCTACACAGAGTTGCTCTTGAACTGGATGGGGGCAAAGTTCATGGCCAAAGAACAGACCACCCACCTAGCTCCATTGGAGCAAAAGGTGCGAGCACAGCTGACTTTCCAGTCCATAGATCACAAGCTGTGGCTCATGGGAGCAGCTCCCAAAGAAGAGCTAGAGTCAGCTCAAATAGTTTCAGATGTGGACCAGGTGATATCAAACCGGCACAGATTGTGCATAGGCATGTCAGATCAAGTTCCCCTGTGGGCCAAAAGCCCATCCACCAAGGTTGTGTTTTCAAAGGAAGATCTACAAGGAGTTGGGGCTGAGGTGAGGAGGGAGTTCAACACTTGCAGGGAGGAGCTGAAAGCTGCACAGGAAGCTTGGAAAGAAGGTGGCCATCAGGTAATCACAGCTGCAGATGGAGGTGAGCCAGGTGGCAAAGTTGTTGCTGGCAGCAGAGTTTTGAAGGGAGACAGTGCTGCTGAGAAGTTTCGCATAACCTATGAGGCCAGGCAGAGGGTGACCAACATAGCTAACAAAGAGGAGCTGCAAGGACATGTGCTTCCTGGACTGTTAGTTTTCCCTGGAAAGCACAACAGATTGAGCAATGTAGATGAGAATGGCAAGTACAAGAGAACAGAGAAGTTTGAAGTGAAAGGTGTGGAGGTGGAGCACCAAGCTGGAGAGAAGTGCAGAGGCTTAGCTTGGGCAGTTGAGCTGAGGAAGCAGTTTCCAAAAGAGTTTGAAGAGGTGGAGATCATGACACAGCCCAGTTCCAACTGCGATGGAGTTTTGCTAGCATGGATAGTTGAAGAGCAATGTGAAGAAGAGATTTGCAGCTTGTGGATCAGAGATTGCTTCAGTGCAGTTTTCCAGGAACACGTTGTGCAAAGGCAGTTCACAGGTTGCCAAGCAAGTGCTCAGATCCTGGGAAAGATGACACAGCAGCTTCAGTTGACAGATACAGACTTTGCCAAGAGCTTCAAAGCCAGTTTCAGAGAGCAGCTTGAGGAGCAAAGGCTAGCAGCTAAGAAAGATGGCAGAGAGTATAAGATTGGCTACAAAGAGATCATCCTTGCCACAGTTGGAGCTCAGAGACAAGCAGTTCAAAGACAGGTTGACACAGATTGGATTGTGGGTGGGAGTGTGAGGAATGGCCTCATAGCTTTCAAAGCTTCACCAGAGGCAGGAAAGCTTGTGCCCTTTCTAGGTGAAAGTTGGGCCAAAGCAAGAGGTCTGGCACAGGGGTCAAGGAGAATTCCCAACAGTTGGCTGGAGCCAAGGTTCAGCTGGGTCAAAGATGGAATTCCACAGCCTGCAGATTTTGCCCTGAGTTCCAGCGCCACGCAGGTAGCTGACTTGATAGAGTGGAGCTACAAGAACCCAGCTGAAACAGATGAAGGTGGAGAGGAAGCTGGAGATGCAGATGGAGGTGGGGACACCCTTGACATACCCAATGAAGATGAGATAGCAACAGAGCTGCAAGTTCCACTTTGGAACAGTTTGTTCCTGAGGATGAGCCCAGGTTTGAGGAGAGCTCACATCAGAAGGAAAGCTCAGCAAGATAGTTGGCAAGAGCTTGTCAAGTTGGCAGCCAACAAGGCAAAGCTGAAAGCTGCCAGGCAAGCTGCAAGGAAAGCTGCTTCAAGGTTGAGTTTTGCAGAGATCAGGAGCAAGCTGGCAAAGATGTCAAAGCGAGAAGCCATGGAAGACATAATTCCAGTTGCACAAGCAAAGGCCAAGGCAAAGGGAAAGCCTTCTTTGAAGACCAAAGATTCAGCAAAGTTGAAGCCCTCTTTGATCCTCAAAGCTTCATCCAAATCAAAGCCAAGTTTGAAGGAGAAAGGTAGCCTTGTGAAGAAAGAGCTAGCCAAGAGCAAGAAGAAGGCCATCAAGGACAAAGCTCTGCTGCTAGCCTTGAAAGAAGATGAAGTTGAGAAGAAGGCTGCAAAGGCTGCAGAGCCAGTTGAGGACTTGCAGTTGCCTTTCAAGAAAGGAGAGGAGTTGAGAGTTGTGAAGGAAGAAGCAGGTGCCTTGCAGTATGGCAAAGAAGGCAGTTTTGCAGATGCACAGACAGATGGAAAAGCTTCAATCTTCACAGATTATGGTGTGATGAGTTGCCATCAGCAGCACTTGCAGTTGAAAGACAGTTCCTGGAAGAAGGCAGCTGTGTGGAAGCAGTTCACACAGCTTGGCAGGTTGAAAAAGCAGGAGTTCCTGCAGCTTTCAGGTTGCATGCCAGCCCTGGGAGTGAAAGCAGAAGCAGTTGTGCCAGAGCCACCAAAGATGAACATGCTGGAGGGTGGCCACATAGCTTTGAGCTGGCACCTGCTCAGATGGCAGTTCTCAGGCCATGAGTTCTTGGAGAGCTGCCAGCTTGTGGATGCAGAGTGCGCCTACAAGATTGACAAAGAAGAAAGGTGGAAAGAAGAGATCCAGCAGCTGGCAAGCAACAAGGTGCACATTTTTGTGCCAGTTCTGGGCAGCCCAGCTCACTGGGCCTTGCTAGTTGGCCACAGGTCCAGTCCAGATGCAGCCTGGCAGTTCTGCTACAGGGACACCTTGGCAGATGAGCATGCAGATTGCAAGCACAAGGCAGCAATAGCAATGCAAGCTCTCACAGCTGCCTCAGAGTTGCCAGAAGTGCCAGCCAGGTGCAACAGCTGCAGGCAAACAGCCTCAGAAAGTGGCCAGCTAGTTCTGTCTTACATTGAGGCAGAGCTGGCAGAGCTAGCTTCAGAAGGCCCAGCTGCCAGAGGCTGGCCAGGTGTGCTGGCCCAGAGCTGGGACAAGAGGTTGGAAGCACTGTACAAGCAGTTGCAGCTAGAAGTTGAGAAAGTTCATGCAGAAGTGGCCAAAGCAAAAGAAAGGGAAAAGAAGCTTGAAGAGCAGCAGGAGCAAAGAAGAATGAAAGCCTTGGAGATTCTTGCCAAGGCAAAAGATCAGAACTCCAAGACAGCTCAAGCAGCAAAGGCAGCTTTTGAGCAGAATTCACAGTATTTCACCCACAAAGATTTGAGCCCAGATGCCAGAGAAGCAGTTTGGAAAGCCAAAGCTGCACTTTTCAGGTGCTCAAAGTGCAGGTACACAGCCTGCTTAGCATGCTGCCCAGAGAAAGCTTTGAGCTACTGGGTGAGGAAAGAAGCAGGTGCCAAGAGCAAGGTGCCAAAGATCCAAGGACAAGGGGTGGCTATCTCTCCTCTCCTTCCTATCCTTTCTCTCTTTCTCTCTTCTTTTTGAGACTTTTTTTGTGACTTTTTTTTTGGGGGGACATTTTTTTTCATGGGCGGGGGGGGCAGGGGCTTGTCTTTATTCTAGGTGCATTTATTAATTATTTTGGGCCCCCCATTTGTCTTTATTACAGGTGCATTTGTTAATCCTACGTGGACATTAGAATTGGTTTAGTATTGGTACAGTATTCTTGCTGACTGGCTTAGTACTGCTTAGAATTGGTTTAGTATTGGTTTAGTATTCTTGCTGACTGGCTTAGTACTGTTTAAGAAAAGTGTTTTAGGACTGGGGCCAGGGATGCCTGCAGGGAAAGGGGCTTCCCTTTCCAAAGAACTACTGAGTCTCACCAGAAAAGGAAGTTTCCTTTCTAAAGAACTACTGAGTCTCCCCAGAAAAGGAAGTTTAACTGAGGCCCCAACAGCTAAATTCTTTATGACAGCCCTTACTAAAAGTTGCACCCTGCCAAAATTTCAAGGGGGTAGTACAGGGAACACCCAGGAAGCCAATAATGAGATTTGTTTAAGGGGAGTTAATTGAGAAAAGTTTTTTAGGACTGGGGCCAGGATACTCAACCAATACTAAACCAATACTAAACCAATTCCAATTAACCTCCCTTAAACAAATCTCATTATTGGCTTCCTGGGTGTTCCCTGTACTACCCCCTGGAAAATTTGGCAGGGTGCAACTTTTAGTAAGGGCCATAAAGAATTTGGCTGTTGGGGGCCTCAGTTAAACTTCCTTTCAGGGACTTCAATCATCATCTCCTTGTTGGTGGTGGTGGTAGGTTGGGGGGGGCGGGCGGGGCAGAGAGAGACAGGAGTTGCACTGAACTAGGGATTGATTAGCAAACTTTTTTGAGGGGGGAACAGTTTTCCGGATTTTTGTTGCCCCTTACAAAAACTTGTGTGTATTAACTCCCCCTTTTGCTTTTCAGGGGTGTGAATAATTTGGGGATGTTTTTGTGTATTGACTCCCCATTTATTATTCGCAACCTAACATTACTCGGCGCAATCCACTGGCGTGCTGCTCTGGCGGGGGGATCCACTGGCGAGCTGCTCTGGCGGGATACTGGGTGGGGGTGTGGTGTAGAAGCATCGCAAACGCGGATTCCGACATAAAATCTAACAACCCCTTCCTGTCGGGTGGGGAAAAAGAAGAAAATTGCTCTTCATTTATTCCTGGTTTTGTTGCTTGTGAAGCTGCTTGCAACTCTCCGCCCCCACTGGTGCTCAGCGAGCTCAGGGAACTGGCGACTTGCTGACTCGCGCAACGTTGTGGGATAAAGGCAACCACTTCTGCGATACAAGGGAATCCCGTCTTTATATGGGGGGTGCAGTCTTTGAGAGGCCCTTTTTGGTTGTATCACAGATTTGTGGGTTCCATTTCAATCACAGCGCGCCAGGCCAGCCCATGGTTTTCATGCGCGCCGCTGACCTGTTCCAGTCGGAGGCAAGGCCCAACAGATCTGCGGCTGGCCGGCTGACTGGGCCTCGGCCAGCGAGAGCATGTGGGCACGAGCTGTGCTTGTGCAAGGGCACGTTTAACCGGGTTCCCTATATTTCTCCTTTTGGTTGGCTTAAGCATCACCAGTTGGACAAAATTCGAACAAGTTTCCCTTTGGCCGGGTGATGCTTAAAGAGGAAAGATAGGGAAGCCTGTTTAAGGTCTTTCTGGATTGCAGGAAGCGGTTGCCTTATTTGAAGCAACTTGAAGCCACGTAAGTGTCGCAGTCAAATGGAAAGAGTGACCGTTGTGTGTCCAGCATGTAAGGGGCATGACCTTGCCACTCAATGGTTGGGCTCCGAGCACGGAGTTTCTTGGCCGCAAGGGCGCTCACTAAACCGAGATTGCTGAAAAAGAAGCATGTCTTTGCCTCACTTGCTCTGAGTTTTCCATGTCTTCCCTGGAGGTGGCCAAAGCGTCAATGCGCGAGCAGTGTGAGGCGGATCAAGCCGCTGCCTTTCACACTTGACCAAATCGATGGGATGCTGGACATTGTTGGACTATGCCTTCCAGCATCGCTGTTTGAGTTGTTGCCGGGTGTGTTCAACGTCTTCCGGACCCTGCGGGAGACAAAAGTCTTGGCTGTTCAAAGGTAATCCCTACTCCTTACCTTTGGTTACGCAACGGGGTCCCTTTTGTGGTGGCTTCCCTATAGGGGTTATGGAAAATCGGATTGGCCAACCCTCCATTCTGAACAGCCCAGAGCAGGCTTTGAAGAAGAACCAGCAGCTTCTGGATCGGGTCGAGCGACGCCTGTCAAAACTTATGCTTGCAAGCGGGCGAGGGGGGTGATCGCTATCGCTTTGATGCGAGTATGTTTGTGAGCTGGCGTCGAAGGACACATTTTTCTTGGGATCTAAAGCCTGATAGGTTTGCACGTGAAGCGTTGTTTCAATCACGGACTGAGAGCAGGTGACGTTGAGGTGACTGTCGGAATGATGGATCCTTTGACCCGTTATATATGAGAGTTGAAGTGACAAGAAATGATTAGCAGACGAATGCGGAGAGAGAGTTGAGGAATCCGCGGCGTGGCAGCTGTGAAGATGGGCATCGTGAAGTCGCGTGCTCCAATTAGAAAGTCAGTCCAGTTGCGCGAGGCTTCGGTATTCGGGCTGGCTTTGAGGCGGCTTCTGTTTGTCCATGAGTAGAATCACGGACACGTACACACACACACACGTCAAAAAAATTAACCACGCTCACAAGCGAACATGCAGCCTCACACACACACACACACACACACATTCACAGGTTCCAGATGTGGCTCGGCCTGAGGCAATGGCAGGACGCTGAGAGAGATTCGCCCTACACGCCCTTCGTGGCAGCGATATCGCCCCCGTCATCCCAGGCTCGTGACCCGAAAGGTGTGAGTGCGTGTGTGTGTTGCGTGTCCTGCCCTGCCTGTCTGCCTGCCTGTCGGTTGGTTTTTTTGGTTGTCTGTCTGTCGTGTCTGTGCGTTTGTGCCTGTGGGTCTTTGACGTTTTCTGACAGGGCCTGGAATGTTTTGCGACATATCCTTCCTACGAGGGAATGTGCCGATTGCCGCGCGCAGGAGGAGGACTTTGGCTCTTTGTGCGCAACTTGGCTCAACAATATGCTTCCGTTTGCTTAAGGAGTTTTATTCCCCAACAGCTGAAAGCTTTGGGGTCTCAGCCCAGATAGGCTCCGGGGTGGTCCGGGGGCGGCCCGGAGGTAAGGTTCCACGAGGGTTCCACCAGGGTTCCACCAGGGTTCCACCAGGGTTCCACATGCTGTTGGGGATATCACCTGAGCTTATTTTACTTTTTACACTGTTGGTTTTAAAGGGAATCTATGACTACTGGATTTTTGTTAGTCTTTCCAGCGGTCTTAAAGCAAATGGAAGTGTGGCTGGCTTGCGCTCAAAGGCAGTCAGAGTGAGTTGGCTGCTTAAGAATGTGTGTGATGTGTCATTTTGAGCCAAGAAAGCCACCAGTGGATCATTTGCTCGAAGACGTGTTGCTGAAAGGATTCAGCGTTCAAACGCCGCAGCTCAAGCGAAAGTCTGCAAACTAACTGGGCTAGCAGGAGTCAAGTCCCTGTTTTGCTTGCGTCAATCTTCCTAAAGCTCGCAGGGTGCAACTTGCAAGTGCAAGCTCGCGTATATGACAACGATGTTGCACGTGGAACGCAGTGTTGTCATTGTGTCCAGGACATTCTTGCCCAGTGCTTGCTTCAAGTGTCAGTTGAGTCTGTTTGACGTGTATAGCCTTCAGCGTCTTCAAGCGGAAACACAAGTTTGTTGCAGCAAGGGCCTGTTTGCGTTGCAGTTGCCAACGTGTCAGGTCTTCATGCAGAAAGTCCACCAGGCTGGGTAGTCGCTCAGAGCCATGGTTCCGCAGCACAGACGTGTGTGCCCAATTCTTGCAAATCTCTTGCCTGCTACTGGGCAACGCATCTTTAGACTTCAACTTTTTGGTAAATGTCCATGGTTTTTCCACGTTTTGCAGGGGGTCAATACTAGCAACCGCAAGATCTTGAGGCCTATCCTGTGACAGGGTCGGTCGCCACCGCGGCGGCAGCCTTGCTGAAGGGAAGCATCCTGCACGATGCGCCCGGTCTGCGCGTAGATGGAATCTCTTGCCGTCCGCTTTCTGAGTTGTTCAGTGGCTCCACTTGCATTCCCTTTCTTGGGTGGCACCCTTTCTTGCTTTCCCTTTTCCCCTTTTTTTGAGTGGCATTCCCTTTTTCCCCTTTCTTTTTTTTGGGGGGGGGGGTGGCTTTCTCAGTTGTTCAGTGGCACCATTTTGTGTTCTCCTTTTTTTTGGCTGGCTGCCCCACTAAAAATGGTCTTCCCCTTAAAATGGTCTTCCCCAAACAGGGTTCCCTTTTTTCCAGGGTTACAACTGAGCTTTTCCGCCATGGCCATATGGGCAGTGGGTCAAAATTTAAGAGCTAGGGTTACGCAGGTTTTGGTCTTTGGTTCCATTTACCAGGGGGCCTTGGGTTTTGGTTGTCCTTGGGTTTTCATTTGAACCAACCGGCTGTGGGTCAAAATTAGGTACCAAAAATGGAACCCTGGCAAATGGAAACAAAGACTAAAATCTGCGGTCCCCAGGTGGTTTAATATTCACCCACACCCATATTCAGCCCAGGTGGGCTTGCCCTTCAACACAAACGCCGATGGCTCCAGCGAAGCGATCGCATCTCGGCTCGGCGCGCTGCACCCACTCGAAGTCAGCTTGAGTGGCGCAACACTCTAAGGTTCGCATCGGACATCCAAGCGGTGCAGCACGGCTGACTTTGTGCAAATCAAAACCCAAAGCATGGAAAAGGTGGATTCCTCTGCCAAATGCTAAGATGCCGGTTATTTGGGTCCATGTGAATGAACCCAAGGATCCGTCGTATACAACTGCTAAAATGCTCATTACTTGAATTGTCCATGGAAACTGAGGAGAAAACTTCCCCTGTGCGTTCTGATATGGCCATGGGTCAAAACCCCGTACTTCCAGTGAACATCCGAATCCAACCACTAAAATAGGTTCTAAAAATGGGTGGTGAATTCACCGAAAGCCCCAAAATGGGATCCCCCTAAAACGGTTTTGACCCATGGCCATGCTGCAGGTCATGGAGGTGGATGGCGCTGTACATAGCACAGGCCCAAGGCTCGTGCGGGCGGCCATGCGGCGCACTGCGCGATGCTTGATGGATGGACAGGCGCGAGAGAGGTTGAGTCACGGTGGTGTACTCTCTCTGAGTCAAGGACTCCACTGAGAATCATCGAAACCGAGCACCCTCAAAGACAGTCCCCTTTTGTTTGGTGCCCTGAATCTGAAAATCATCAAGCCCAAAGAAAGGTTCCCAGGTTCTACGGTCTGCGAAACTGAGTGCAAAACATATTCCCCGCCTGTGCCCCTTTCAGGCGTACATCCCTTGGTCGGTTTGGCCAGCCGAATGATTCTGTACAGAGGCGTGATTTTCAGGCTGCTCAGTCTCAAGCAGCAGTTTTCGCACAGGTTGGAGGCCATCGTTAAAATGCGATCAGAGCCCAGCCGGCACACAATAGGGCATTCATCGTGCGCAGACAACTCGAGAGCAATTGCTGAATGCTCGCCAAGAGGCCGAAAAAAAGCATTAAAGACAGGCTTGTTTGTGTGCCGGGATGTTTCGGGTGTGTGGGGAAGATCTTTTGATAGCGTTGCAGAGTCACTCTGCATTGACTGCCGTGTGACCATTGGGCAGAATTTGTGTTAGCCAAAACCTGTGTGTCGTTTGTGTGTGTGCGTTTGCCCACGTTGGTCACGGGTGTCAGCATCCCCCGAATCGGTTTGGTTTGGTGGCTTGGAGGTTCGGGGGTGGTTTCCCATTAACCCTCTACAAGAACCAGAGGTTCAACCCCCACCGCCAAGCCTAAACCACCAGAAAAAGGGTTATCTGTCAAGACGGGCAAGATAAAGGACAGGCCGTACTGCGCATGGGCTGAAAACGCCTTCCGGTTGGGATTGGTGGTTTATGAACCATTGTCAAGGTTCCTTCCATAGGTGTGCTTTTGATCGGTGACTTTGGGTTGGAAGACGGGTTCCACTGGTTTAGGTTGTTGTTTTTTTCTGGAATCCATCTATTTGTGAAAAGGACAGCTATGGAGATCCTTCCATCAGGGAAGCCGAAGCTGGGCTCAACTCGGGCGGGCTGCGGCCGGCGAGTTTGCTTCGCTCGCAGCGCGCGAAGGGCTCAAGAGCGGATGGCGGCCAAGGAGGCGGAAGCCGTGGCGGCGATCGCGGAGAAGTCGGGGAGCCCAAGGGATGGAACCCTGCGGTTTGGGCAAAGTTTGAGGGGGGGGGGAGGGAGGGGGGGGAGTGGGGGGTGGGGGGGGGGCGGGGGAGGGGGGGGGGGAATGGGTTTCTCAAGAGAAATGCAAGAAGCCATCGAGCCAAAGAGACATGCGCGTTTTAAGAGGGAGCGGTTGGGAGCTACCAGGAGCATATTAGTATTGGTGGTTTGGTCTGGCGGAAACCCTGGTTCTTGATCAAGGCAAGAGGAAAGCGCCCATCTCTGAAGCCAAACCACTGGATGTGAACATAAATGTCACAGGGAATCGAAACCAAAAGAAAGATATTTGTGGTGGCCTTTGCGCTTGCCGGTTGACCCCAAACTGAAACCATCCTTGGGTGCTTTAGCGGAAGCCCCAGCTGTTTGGAATGTTCCCAAAAGCAAAAGCAAGAAGGCAAGAATCCCCCCCTCTCAGACCAAAAACAAAATAACGCATTAAAAAAAGACACACACACACACACACACCCGCACCCGCACCCGCACCCGCACCCGCACGCGCACGCGCACCCGCACCCGCACCCGCACGCGCACGCGCACACGCACCCGAACCCGCACGCGCACACGCACACGCACACGCACACGCACCCGCACCCGCACACGCACGCACACGCACACGCACACCCCTGGGCGTCGAGGAACGCCAAATCCGCCGCGCCCATCTCGGTGGTGGAGCTCGAGGCGCTGGCGCCGGACCAGGGCTTCGCGCAGGCGCGCCTCGCGGCGGAGAAGATCCACGAGATCCTGGGGAAGCTGAAGGCCGCGCCGAAGGGACGGAGGGACGGACGGCCGCGCGGGAAAGACGTGCGGGGGGGGGACGTGGACGCATTCTTTACAGGGTTCTGGGTCGACCGTTTTTGTACCAGGGTTTGATTGTGACTCATGTGGGGGGTTCCATTTTTGGACTGAAACTCAAAAACTCCATTTTGGGGACTTCAAGGAAATTGGTCCCCAAGGGTGCCACTGTTTTAGTATTTAGGGAAGCTGAAGGCCGTCCTCGGGAAGCTGAAGGCTGCGAGATCGCTCGATGGACGGAAGGTGAAGGGACCCCATGTGAGCCACGTCCCCAAAACCCGTCAAAACCTGGATAATTGGAGGGTAGTAAGATGTATGCCTTGACTGCTATTGGGCAACGGATCTTTAGACTTTCACTTGTTGGTTGAAATCAGGGGGTTTTCCACTAAACCCCCAAAAAGTGATTCACTTTTTGCAGGGGGGTCAACAGCAACCAAGATGCGAGCCACAATCAAAACCCGGGTAATTGATGGGTAGTAAGGGACAATCCCCTTGCCATAAATAGCTGCGGATATCCGCCTTCTGAAATTCTTTACATGGCTTTGGGTCGACCATTTCTTGTACCAGGTGTTGATTATGACTCATGTGGGGGTTCCATTTTTGGACTTAAACTCAAAAATTCCATGGGTGTCCTTGGGTAAATGACCTACCCGGGAATTGGTCTCCAAGGGTTCCGCTGTTTCAGTATTTAGGGAAGCTGGAGGCCGTCCTCAGGAAGCTGAAGGAACTTCATGGAGTTGATCGCTTGGTGGACGTAAATCCCGAGGGAAGGAACCCTCCATGGTAATGTTGATCCCAGATTCTGAGTAGGGTGGTCCCCTCCAAAAGTGATGAACCGTCAAGGGAATTTGTCTGGCAGGTGTCCTTTTGGTTGGAAGTTACTTTGGTTCCACTGTTCTAGGGAAGCTGCAGGCCTAAAAAGATGATATGTCCCACATGGGAAGAGTTACCCATGCTCATTCGGGGGGGGGGGGGGGCAGGACTATTGATCAACCCCCATGCCCCCTTCTTTAGGTAGTGCCATCATCATTCGGTTGTTTTAGATTGATTACTGTAAAGATAAGTTTAAAGAAGAAGCAATGGTTTAGAGGAAAAGCATGTTTGTGAGGCTGGCGCAAGCGCAAAGAATGGATTTAGGGGTTTGTTTTTAAAGGGAAAACCATGCTTTTTTAGGTGTAAACTTGGGTCGGGTTAAAGGGAAGCCAAAGGTGTTTAGGTTGGTTTTAAGGGAAACGAACATTACCCGCAACATTCGATTGTTCTTTGGCTATTTTCTGTGGGCACTCCTGTTCTTTTGGGGCCCCAACTTTAGGCTGGGTGAAATGGGGTCTGAAGGCGGGCAAGCCGAAGAAGGGAAAGGCTGGGAAAAGCGGTGCTTAGGTCCAAGCAGATCAGGCATGAACTGCTTTTTGTTTCTCCCCCTTTGACATGATGTGATTTGTGGGAAAAGCAGGAAAGCGTGAGGTCTTTTTCTTCTGCAGCCAGCATTCGAACTGCAGGGGCGAAACAGCATTGAGCTTTTGGTGATCAGGGCGCATTCAGGGCCCATTTCGCCGCCCGCCGTATATATATATATATATATATATTTAAGAACCCCGGAACCCGGGCCGGGTGTTCCTTTTTGGTTTGCGTCGGGAAACCGACCGAGAGAAAAGCCGCCGCTCCCTCGGGGTCGTTGAGGCGGCCAAGCAGCAGAACTCGGACGACGCGGCCAGCTTCGAGGACTGCAGCCTCCGCTTGCAGAAGCAGCTGCTGAGCCTCAGGCGAGCGCTCGGAGCGAGCGCTCGGGGCCGGCGACGAATCAAGGGCCGAGGAGGGAGAGAAGCGGGAAGGCAGTGGGACACGCACTTTCTGGGTTCCGGTTGGGACTTTGAACTGGGTTTGGACCAGTTGAGTGGTAAGCAAAAAGCTTTGGACTGTTTTTGGCCAATCCACTCAGGAAGAGGGAAGGATGGTGCTTGAGCATGGCCTTCTATTTGTGATGATCCCTGGTGCTCAAGGGTGGGATCTGGTGTGAGAATGTGCGTAGTTGTTGTGGCACCTTAAGCCACTGGAAGTAGCAGCAACTGATTTTCGGGGCTGAGACTATGGGTGACGGCCCAAGATGGTTCCATGAGGACATTGAGACTTGCCCATCGCAGGCGAGCGCACCGCGCGATGATCAAGTTCTCGGACTCACGGCCCAAACAGCGGGGATCGGGGTCCACATGTTCTGAGAAATCGGCAAGCTATTCAGAGCTAAAGCTATCTCATGTAAGGAATCGCGGCGGTCCAGCATCGTGTTTCGGTCCTATTGTGTTGCTTGTTTGCTTCTAATTGTTTCTCGTCAGGCCCTGGTTTTTGCCAATGCCGTCTTTTCGTGTCGGTCCGAAGTGTCTCGTTTAGGTGCTAGTTCTGCCGGTGTCCCAAAAGGCGTGCCCATAGCCAACAAGCTGGCATAGATTTGAAGTTAGAATCCACGGCCAAGATGCTTCAGGAGTTGCGACCGAAACGAACGCGAGGGCTGAAGACAGAAAAAATGGCCCAAAATCTGCCAGCAAAAGTTTGGGCCGAAATGAACGGTCTACTTCATGCAAGCTCCGCCAAATCCGACTGATGGCTTTTAGCTGACACAGCATGCCTGCAGAATGGGTGCAGCGCTTGGTACGCGGTGCAACGTGGACGTGTGAAAGAGTCAACTGCGCATTTGGTCACAGATCATGCCGATCTCCAGGACACTTTTGCGAAGGACCCTAAAAATGAAAACTGACTTGGATGTTCCAGGATGATCCTGAACAGATATCTCCCTACGTCGTTACATCCCCTCGTAGGCTGAGGCTGACTTGTGAGGGACTCCCAAAATCGCCCACACAGGGTCAAACATGTAGGAACCCTCCCGATCAATTCTCTCAGAGCGTTTATATGTATATGTGTATATATATATATTCTCCCTTGCATGGTAGGGCGCAAGTACGAATCCCCTGCATTGCAGCCTCAAATACTTGTTTGTTCAGTGGATTGCGCGGAAAACTCGCCGATTCATCCAAGACCACATTGCTGAGCAAACTTGGTGGTGAAGAATGTTGAAGCCAAGTAGTACAGGCTGATCGCACCAAAGAAGCCAAAGAAAATGTGTGGTTCACGAAGCCTCGGCTTGTTGCCTGGCCTCGGTGGCCGCACCTTCCTACCGAGGAGCAAGGCAGGATGGCAGAGGTGTCCGCGCGGAAGGTCACGGAGACCGAGTTTGCGAATTTGCAGACCCGGAAGTATGAGAGCTCCTTGGCGATGCTCATGGCGTCAAGAGAACCTGTCACATGTCCCGTTTGGATCCCCATGGCGTCAAGAGAACCTGTCATATTTGCCCCGCCCCTTTTGGTTGATCCCCATTTTGGGCGCCAGTGACTTAGCAGCTTTGAAAGGCCGAGAAACAAGGAAGATGCTCTTTTTTTGGACGGGATGAAAGAGTACATGCGTGGAATTATGGCATGGTGCACCGCCAGGCTCAGTTTGCCGCGCAGCAGCTGGGCGATGCCGCTATCTTCTTACCCCTGAGCTGGACAAGCTTCGCCCATTAGTGTCAGGGTTTCAGGCGCGGTGAATTCGTCAAGCTTTGCCGGAGCACAAAGTTGTTGAACAAGTGAGTGGAACTCCCTATCAACAACCAAAGTTGTTCCATTTGCCCGTTACCAGATGTTCCATTTGCCCTCTACCAAGACCCAGTGGCCCAAAGCCGACCTTTTAACCTTTTGGTTTCCCACTTGTTTCGTTTTTTAGTAGAGGCCCCCTAAGTAAGGCGAGCGCCTTTTTTTTTCCGGCCCCTAAGGGGCTGGGAAGAACCCGTGGGAAGCGGGGCCGGCGCTTGCCATCCAGGCCAAGGAGGATGCGAAGGTCTCCGAATCCGAGCCTTCGATTCGACTCGAAGCGCGCGGCCTATGGCAGGGGACAGATTTTTTGACGGTTTCCGGGGGTTATCAGAGTCAGAAGTGGGGTTGTTTCCCTTCAACCCACCACTTAGGGGGTGACGAGGCCAGTAGGGGCCCCTTCGATGGGGCCGCTTCGGTGTATGAGGCTTCACAGGTTGGGTTCGTTGGGCTGGCATGGGCATTTGCAGTCGGATGCAGTGAGGGCTGTTCAGCGCCTGGCTGTTGCGCTGAGATCGATGTGAGGGACGTACGGCCCGGCACCATGCCTTGGCAAGTTGTTGGTTTCCCAAGGAAAAAGCAGGCCTTCTGACCGGCCTGATCCACGCAGAACTGCAAGAGAGGATATCCCTGGAGGAGCAATTGAAGGCCAGATTGCTGCATACCTTTGTGTGCTGTGCTGTTGCTCCAGGTTCCTGAGAAAGAGCGGGTGTAGCAAGTTCGGTTTTGTCAGATGCGGCAGCATCCCCCAAACATCATTCATGATTTGCCATTATGAGGGCGCAAGAGCTACGTGATTGTGCAGCCAAATTGCTGCACAGTGCCAGTGAGGATATTTTTCTATCACTCCCATGTCAGAAACCTGTCATAGGTCCATCAATCGGTCAGCGACAGGCATGCATTCACAGCCTGATCAAGAGTCAGACAGCCGGTCAGTGGGACGCTTGACCGAGACGAGCATAGCCCCGGGCGCAGGTCGAGACTGGGTGCCCACTCTTTCATGTGTTTATCGCCTTTGGCATTGCATCACGTAAGCCTTAAGGATAACTGTGAAACCAGCCTCCTAACTCTTCCAAACCAATTGCAGGGGCTGGAGCAGCAGAAGCAGAGCGAGCAGCAGAAGCTGACAGACCGCGTGAAAGCTGGCGCACATCTCACTTCGAGAATGGGCCACTTGGACTGCCTAGCCCGTTCAGTTTCAAAAGATTGTAAATGCGGGAAGGTTGCACCTTGGATGGCGTCAGCGATCTCAATTTGTTAGCGACCCCGAAAAGTCACTTTGAAATAATGGATATTGAATGCGCTACAGGAGCACAAAAAGCATGCTCGACTCCAAGGTGTGTTTCGTCAGGCGAAACTTTAGGTTCAATTACATTTAGCCAAGTGTGGATGTTTCTAAAAAAACGATTTTTTGACAGAGGCTGTTATCCTCGATGCTGTGGCCTTGTATGCACTTGAGGCACATCTCCAAGGACTTTGCGTAAGTTTTGCGTATGTGCGTCAGTTGTTGCAAGTCGTCGCCTGGATGCTTGAGGCACGCTGAAACGAGCGCTGGAGCCTTTGCGCAGCTTGCTTCAAGGCGCGATCCCGAGCCGACCCCCCAATCCGAGCCCCAGCACCCAGCGTAAGCGTAGGTGACGAGCCCGGCAAGGAGGACAAGGCGAGGCAAGTTGCAGTCGTAGCTGGAAAGATCAGATACCAAAGGGGCGCAAAGTCTCTGAACTCGGCCAGGCCCTTGGGCGGGTGAAGGGCCACCATCAGTTTTTGACCTCATTTCCACGTTGGTTCGGCGAGTGGCACGTTTCAGGCCAAAGCAGCGAATGCACCAGAGGAGGCAGAGCAGCCTGGCCGGTCACAAGTGCAGGGATGACCAAAGCGCCCTTTGGAGCGACTGAGGGGTGGCAAAGGCTCAACCATGCTTGAAAAATATGACGTGTTGTTGAGGGGTTGAAAAGATATGATAGATGTTTGAGGGGTTGCAAAAAGTATGATTGAAAAGTCTGAAGGAAATCCTTAAGGAATGTTCACGTAAGTAGTTAGATCAGAATGGCCGAGGAAGACCGGGGATGGTGCGGCTGAACCACCTGCAAAGCGTTTGAAGGAGGCTGAGGCGGTGACTGGGGGGGGGAGGGGAGGCTTGGATGACTTTTGCTGCCGCATGGCATTGTGACTCCGAAGTGCTTCCAGGACGTGCTCTGAGTCGACAAAGGGCACCTGACTTGGCAAGCCAGGGGCCCGTGGGCATGGCTGCGCCAGAGGGCATCCCTAGGGAGTGATAGAATATGTCTCACCGTGCGGTGCGTCATGCTCCGGAAGAAAATGATGACAGCTGCACAGCGAAACTCGCCAATGCTGTGGATGGGCGAAATCCTGCACCACTTTGAAACCAAAAAAAAAGTGTTTGTTGGTATTCACAGGTAATCAGAATCATTCCACGGGTTCCTAGGTGTGGCGAAAAGGATCTCATCCGTGCCCGGGGCAGATGGCTCGCCTCGGTTTCTTTTTGGCAGGCCGAGCGCATGCGAGCAGATGCCGCGGAAGTGGAGGCCAACAGGCTGCGGGTGGCATAGCTGCTTGATACCGGCACTCAGTGGGGTGCTGTTGCGGCACGTATGTATATATATATATATGCTATACACCAACTATATATGTGTGTGTGTTTGTGTATAGCATATATATATATATATATATATTCTAGTTTATTCAGTCAAAATTACTTAGTTATTCATAGCCTGATGTGCCCTGCATGCCTTGCGTAGTCGATGCTAGATGTGGCGAGCCACAAGTTGAGTCACAGGAAGGGCTGCAGTGTGTTGAGCGGTCGCATGGTAGTCCTTGTAGTGGAAGAAATCTACAACCCCCGCGTGCACTTGACAAGCAGCTTAAAAGAGCTGAGCTCAGGTATTCAACCGCCCTTTTTATGTTAGTTGGAGCATATATGTTTCTGCTCGCCATTCCGCGCAAAGAGAATTTCGCATGAGTGAGAGTTGGCCCCTTTGGCCAGCACACTTCTTCAATTGCTCAGCGCACTGCTTGACATCAAGGGATCCTGTGGCCCTCCTCTCTCGGTCATGGCACTCATGTATTCTAAATGTGGCATTCTCATGGCATCACAATGCTGGACATGAATGCCCAGGTAAATCAAATCCCTACCAACGGCGTTCAGCGGCCAAGTCCAACAAAAACAATGACTTGGCCTTGAATTGCCTGGCTGAGTTGCCATCCGCTCTCTCCTAGTGGTCTGGGAGTGGGTCAGAAGATGTCTCATGCGAATCGGCCCTGGCTGTTCCCCAAAGCTGACGGGAGGAATCTCAAGGGTCACTCCCAGATACCCCAACCGTGAGATTTCCATCCATCCACTAGAACCGGACAGCTAGAACCAGCTCGGGATACCCCAGATTTGCCAGCCAACTTGCCTGATCTTTTTCGCCGTCGCGTCAAGTGGCTATGTCCTTCATCCCTTGTGCCAGATGGAAGAGGTGTCCCTTGTTGGCAGCTGTAATCCCACAGCGGATAAGGGGTACTTCTTTGAGGTTGACGCTTTTTCTCCTTGTCCACTTGTTTGGGAACCCATGTTCGGTTCGTTGTTGCTTTGGGGTAAAGAAGCACCTACTTGCTTGGTTTTAGGAAACTTGGAGGGAACCATCCGTTTGGCGGGGTCCTCTTTGAAAAACTCCCCTTACCAAATTGTCAAGGCCCCCCTTTTTCCTTAAGGCCGATAGCGCCGGGGGGTCCACAGGCCCAGAGGTTCTCTGGTCTGAAATAACACCCCAACCCATTTGTCTCTAGGGGAGCCCTCAAAAGTTTCCTTTCGGATTTCAACTGAGCCAAGCCCCGAAAAAAAGGGTAAGAAATGGACCCACCCATCTTTCAACCGGCTAGCCTCACCCTGGCTGCCCCTCCCTTTTGGTCCCCTTATCCGCGCGAGCCGCCGCCTAATGCGCGGGGCGCGATCGAAGTCGGAAGCCCTGCGCCAGGCGCGGCGCGCTCCGTGAGCTCGAGGAGTTCCGGCGCCAGTCCCAGCTTTGGGCCGCGGAGCAGGGCGCGGCGGAGGCGCCGGCCTGGCGCGCCCGGCTTTACGCGCGCATGCGCGGACGCGCGTGCCGCGGGAAACCCCCCATGGAAGGGGGGGGAGAGAAAATGGGGGGGGGGGGGGGGGGTAAGAGGGTAGAGTATGTATAATGTGTCGCGGGACCCTTTCCTGCATATATAGCGCAATTTCAGGCCCAATGCTGCTCAAATAAATCTTTTAAAGATTTTAAATATTTTAAATCCCCGGGTCCTGATTTCTGGAGCTGGGGCCGATTTAAAATTTTAAATGTTTTAAATATTTTAAATCCCCGGGTCCCTGATTTAAAATATTTAAGATATTTAAGCTGATTTGGGGCCTAAATATTTTAAATATTTTAAATATTTTAAATCCCCGGGTCCTGATTTCTGGAGCTGGGGCCGATTTAACATTTTATAATATAAATATTTTAAATATTTTAAATATTTTAAATCCCCGGGCCCCCGATTTAAAATATTTGAAATATTTAAACTGATTTGGGGCCTAAATATTTTAAATATTTTAAATCCCCGGGCCCCGATTTAAAATATTCAAAATATTTAAGCTGATTTGGGGCCTAAATATTTTAAATATTTTAAATATTTTAAATCACCGGGTCCTGATTTCTGGAGCTGGGGCCGATTGAAAATTTTAAATAATTTCAATATTTTAAATATTTTAAATATTTTAAATCCCCGGGCCCCCGATTTAAAATATTTAAAATATTTAAGCTGATTTGGGGCCTAACTATTTTAAACATTTTAAATATTTTAAATCCCCTAACCCCGATATAAAATATTTAACCTATTTAAAATATTTAAAATATTTAAAATATTTCAATTTTTAAATCGGGCTCAGATCCTGGGTTCCCGGGATTTGAAATATTTAAAATATTTAAGCTGATTTGGGGCCTAAATATTCTAAATATTTTAAATATTTTAAATCCCCGGGCCCCGATTTAAAATATTTAAAATATTTAAGCTGATTTGGGGCCTAAATATTTTAAATACTTTTAAATCCCCGGGCCCCGATTTAAAATATTTAAAATATTTAAGCTGATTTGGGGCCTAAATATTTTAAATATTTTAAATATTTTAAATCCCCGGGTCCTGATTTCTGGAGCTGGGGCCGATTTAAAATTTTAAATAATTTAAATATTTTAAATATTTTAAATATTTTAAATCCCCGGGCACCGATTTAAAATATTTAAAATATTTAAGCTGATTTGGGGCCTAAATATTTTAAATATTTTAAATATTTTAAATCCCCGGGCCCGGATTTAAAATATTTAAAATATTTAAGCTGATTTGGGGCCTAAATATTTTAAATATTTTAAATATTTTAAATCCCCGGGCCCAGATTTAAAATATTTAAAATATTTAAAATAATTAAAATATTTATAATTTTAAATCGGGCTCAGATCCTGGGTTCCCGGGAATTGAACTATTTAAAATATTTAAGCTGATTTGGGGCCTAAATATTCTAAATATTTTAAATATTTTAAATCCCCGGGCCCCGATTTAAAATATTTAAAATATTTAAGCTGATTTGGGGCTCAAATATTTTAAATATTTTCAATATTTTAAATCCCCGGGTCCTGATTTCTGGAGCTGGGGCCGATTTAATATTCTAAATAATTTAAATATTTTAAATATTTTAAATCCCCTGGCCCCCGATTTAAAATATTTAAAATATTTAAACTGATTTGGGGCCTAAATAGTTTAAATATTTTAAATATTTTAAATCCCCGGGTCCTGATTTAAAATATTTAAAATATTTAAGCTGATTTGGGGCCTAACTATTTTAAATATTTTAAATATTTTAAATCCCCGGGCCCCGATTTAAAATATTTAGAATATTTAAAATATTTAAAATATTTACAATTTTAAATCGGGCTCAGATCCTGGGTTCCCGGGAATTGAAATATTTAAAATATTTAAGCTGATTTGGGGCCTACATATTCGAAATATTTTAAATATGTTAAATCCCCGGGCCCCGATTTAAAATATTTAAAATATTTAAGCTGATTTGGGGCCTAAATATTTTAAATATTTTTAAATATTTTAAATCCCCGGGTCCTGATTTCTGGAGCTGGGGCCGATTTAAAATTTTAAATAATTTAAATATTTTAAATATTTTAAATATTTTAAATCCCCGGGCCCCCGATTTAAAATATTTAAAATAGTTAAACTGATTTGGGGCCTAAATATTTTAAATATTTTAAATATTTTAAATCCCCGGGCCCCGATTTAAAATATTTAAAATATTTAAGCTGATTTGGGGCCTAAATATTTTAAATATTTTAAATATTTTAAATCCCCTGGCCCCGATTTAAAATATTTAAAATATTTAAGCTGATTTGGGGCCTAACTATTTTAAATATTTTAAATATTTTAAATCCCCTGGCCCCGATTTAAAATATTTAAATATTTATTTAAAATATTTAAAATTTTAAATCGGGCTCAGATCCTGGGTTCCCGGGAATTTGAAATATTTAAAATATTTAAGCTGATTTGGGGCCTAAATATTCTAAATATTTTAAATATTTTAAATCCCCGGGCCCCGATTTAAAATATTTAAAATATTTAAGCTGATTTGGGGCCTAAATATTTTAAATATTTTAAATATTTTAAATCCCCGGGTCCTGATTTCTGGAGCTGGGGCCGATTTAAAATTTTAAATAATTTAAATATTTTAAATATTTTAAATATTTTAAATCCCCGGGCCCCCGATTTAAAATATTTAAAATATTTAAACTGATTTGGGGCCTAAATATTTTAAATATTTTAAATCCCCGGGCCCCGATTTAAAATATTTAAAATATTTAAGCTGATTTGGGGCCTAAATATTTTAAATATTTTAAATATTTTAAATCCCCTGGCCCCGATTTAAAATATTTAAAATATTTAAAATAATTAAAATATTTAAAATTTTAAATCGGGCTCAGATCCTGGGTTCCCGGGAATTGAAATATTTAAAATATTTAAGCTGATTTGGGGCCTAAATACTTTAAATATTTTAAATATTTTAAATCCCCGGGTCCTGATTTCTGGAGCTGGGGCCGATTTAAAATTTTAAACAATTTTGAATATTTTCAATATTTTAAATCCCCGGCCCCCGATTTAAAATATTTAAAATATTTAAGCTGATTTGGGGCCTAAATATTGTAAATATTTTAAATATTTTCAATCCCCGGGCCCGGATTTAAAATAGTTAAAATATTTAAGCTGATTTGGGGCCTAAATATTTTAAATATTTTAAATATTTTAAATCCCCGGGCCCCGATTTAAAATATTTAAAATATTTAAAATATTTAAAATATTTAAAATTTTAAATCGGGCTCAGATCCTGGGTTCCCGGGAATTGAAATATTTAAAATATTTAAGCTGATTTGGGGCCTAAATATTCTAAATATTTTGAATATTTTAAATCCCCGGGCCCCGATTTAAAATATTGAAAATATTTAAGCTGATTTGGGGCTCAAATATTTTAAATATTTTAAATATTTTAAATCCCCGGGTCCTGATTTCTGGAGCTGGGGCCGATTTAAAATTTTAAATATTTTAAATATTTTACATATTTTAAATATTTTAAATCCCCGGGCCCCCGATTTAAAATATTTGAAATATGTAAATTGATTTGGGGCCTAAATATTTTAAATATTCTAAATATTTCAAATCCCCGGGCCCTGATTTAAACTATTTAAAATATTTAAGCTGATTCGGGGCCTAAATATTTTGAAATATTTTAAATATTTTAGATCCCCTGGCCCCGATTTAAAATATTTAAAATATGTAAAATATTTAAAGTATTTAAAATTTTAAATCGGGCTCAGATCCTGGGTTCCCGGGATTTGACATATTTACAATATTTAAGCTGATTTGGGGCCTAAATATTTTAAATATTTTAAATGTTTTAAATCCCCGGGTCCTGATTTCTGGAGCTGGGGCCGATTTACAATTTTAAGTAATTTAAATATTTTAAATATTTTAAATATTTTAAATCCCCGGGCCCCCGATTTAAAATAATTGAAATATTTAAACTGATTTGGGGCCTACATATTTCAAATATTTTAAATATTATAAATCCCCGGGCCCCGATTTGAAATATTTAAAATATTTAAGCTGATTGGGGGCCTAAATATTTTAAATATTTTAAATATTTTAAATCCCCGGGCCCCGATTTAAAATATTTAAAGTATTTAACCTGATTTGGGGCCTAAATATTTTAAATATTTTAAATATTTTAATTCCCCGGGCCCCGATTTAAAATATTTAAAATATTTAAAATAATTAAACTGTTTAAAATTTTAAATCGGGCTCAGATCCTGGGTTCCCGGGATTTGAAATATTTAAAATATTTAAGCTGATTTGGGGCCTAAATATTCTAAAAATTTTAAATATTTTAAATCCCCGGGCCCCGATTTAAAATATTTAAGCTGATTTGGGGCCTAAATATTTTAAATATTTAAAATATTTTAAATCCCCGGGTCCTGATTTCTGAAGCTGGGGCCGATTTAAAAGGTTAAATAATTTAAATATTTTAAATATTTTACATATTTTAAATCCCCGGGCCCCCGATTTAAAATATTTGAAATATGTAAATTGATTTGGGGCCTAAATATTTTAAATATTCTAAATAATTTCAATCCCCGGGCCCCCGATTTAAAATATTTAAAATATTTAAGCTGATTTGGGGCCTAAATATTTTAAATATTTGTTTCATATTTTAAATCCCCGGGTCCTGATTTCTGGAGCTGGGGCCGATTTAAAATAATTTAAATAATTTAAATATTTTAAATATTTTTATTCCCCGGGCCCCCGATTTAAATTATTTAAAATATTTGAGCTGATTTGGGGCCTAAATATTATAAATATTTTAAATATTTTAATTCCCCGGGCCCCGATTTAAAATATTTCAAATATTTAAAATATTTAATATATTCAATATATTAAATCGGGCTCAGATCCTGGGTTCCCGGGATTTAAAAGATTTAAAATATTTA